CGTGGCTAGTCGTGGCTAGTTCACAGCCGCGACCCAGACGGGGGCAACGCGAAACATCGCTGCCCGCACGATCAAACAAATTGCCCCACAAAAGACACACCCGCATCGCGCCAGGAGGAGGAAGCGGAGGAGGGGGAGGGAGAAGGAGCAAGAAGAGGAAGAGGGTGCGGGAGGAAATTGGACACGATGATGTCGAGCATAACGACTACGACGACGATGGAGAGGAATACGACGTATACGAAAACCAATGCGACAACGACGACGGCGGCGGCGACGGCGGCGGCGAGGACGACGACGAGGAGGACGACGACGAGGACGACGACGACGACGGCAGAAGGCAACCACCAAGGTAACCGCTTCCGATGGTTCCCTGAGGCTTCAAAATGACTCCAAGATTGCCCAAGATGTGCCCAGGAAGGCCCCAACACGGCCCCAATAGCGCCCAAGACCGCGCCAAAAACGCCCCAATAGGGCGCCAAGAAGCAAATGTCGGGCTCCAGAGGGGGAGGGGAATCCGCGACCCTCCCCTCTGATGATCGATGGCCTCCAAGATGGCCCCATGCTCCGAAGAAGGCCCCAACAGGGCCCCAAGAGAGTCCCAATAAGGTCCCAAGTGAACCCCAAGAGGGCCCAAGAGGCTTCCAAACTGGCCTCCCCCCGATGGCCCCAAGAAGCCTCCAACACAATCCCTTAGCGAAAGACTTGCAAAGACCTCGGTGGTTGACTCCTGACGTCGTCGTCGTCGTAGCAGTCGCCGCCGCCGCGTCGGCCGCCGCCGCCAGTGCCGTCGTCGTCGTCTTCGTCGTCGTCTTCGTCATCGTTCTTGCTGTTGTTCGTCTTATTTTTCTCATTCATTTTACGATTATCATTATCATTATTCGTCGTGGTGTCCTTGTTCGTCCACATATGTTTTTCCTCTTCCTGATCCTCATCTTTCCCCCCTCATCCGCTTCCTCCTCCTCCTCGTCTCTCCCTCCGTACCTCCTCCTGCTCATCCTCTGGCTGCTCCTCCGTCTTCCTCTTCCTCCTTTCCAAAGTAATGGATAACCCTCATCTGTGTTACACAGCTTAGAACTTCCACACCGTCATTCGCACATATTCGGATACGTGGCTGCAATTGTGGCATGCAATCCGCTCGTTGGTGCCCGTGGCTAAATATGGCTATACGTGGCTAAATATGGCTAAACGTGGCTAAAAGTCATGCCGTGGCTATTTTGTGGATATTCGTGGCTAAACATGTTTAATTCCGTGGCTCAAAATGATTAAACATGTCTAAAACGCTTAAGATATACACCGTGCCCATCATAACGCCAACGAAACATTGAAAACACATATGATGCGCGGGACATGGAAATAGACACGACCGGACACTTGAAAATCGTTTTGACAGTTCCACACCAGCGCGGCCCAATAATAGCCACGAAGCTTTGTCTTCCAGGGCAGGTCTGGACCCCCGGTCCGGACCCCCCGATCATCCGAACCCTCCCCGGTCCGGACCCCAGGTCTGGACCCCCTAGCTGGTCGGGACACCCGGGTCGGCCAGGACCTCTCGGGCAGGCGCGGGACGACGACGACGGCGACGTGCGAGGACGGCGGCGGCTGGGCGGCGGCGGCTAGGCGGTGGAAGCGAGGCAGCGGCCTCACTTAGATATCCGACGATCTGTATTTTTGCCCGCGACGGCTCATCCGAGCGCGACGGCCCCAGGGCTCGAAAACAACCTCCCCTCCAGAGGCCGAAATCGCGCCGTCGGGGAAGGCGCCGTCGGCGCTCAAGCCGTCGGGACGCCGCCTTCATCGTCGCCGCTGCCTTCGCTCCTCCCTCTCCCCCTCTCGCTCCCCCTCTCCATTCCCTTCCTCCTCTTCCTCCTCTTCCTCCCCCTCCTCCCCCCACTCCTGCTCATGTTTTGTGCGCGGTTCAATCCGCGGCCGCAACACGCAACAATACTCGTTGGCGCGCCAACTTTTCGAACGCCCGAACGGGACCGCCCGAAACCGAACCGTCCCGAGGAAAACCGAACCGGCTAACAAACCGGACTGGTGCCGAAACCGAACCGGTGCAACCGAACCGGCCCGCCGCCGAACCGGACCCTTGCTGAGTATGGGTGGCAAGAACTTGCCAATCCTGGAGCACCCGCGCCCAGTGCAAGTGAAACAAATGTTGCGCGGACGAGCTCCATATCGCGTCGAGTCCTACCCCTGGGCCTGTCTAAGCAACGCACTGCTGCTTAGCACTTTGGCGCTCTAAGTGGGCGCAGCCCTTCATGGAGGAGCACGAAGAGAAGAAGATGAGACGAGGGGGAGCTAAGGGAAAACGCGGGGAGAGTTGTAATAGTAATTGCAGCAGTTGGCTCCTGGAGCAAACTCCCGCCACTCCCTGGTGCCCCCTTGGGCAGGCGCCCCTGGCTCAGTTGACACAGAGGCGCCCGCCGCGGCTGCCCCAGGCCGCCTGCAGCGCCGCCGCTCCGTCCCCGCCGATGCTGTTGCCGTCCAGCCACAGCTCCTGCAGGCCGGGCAGGGAGGGCCCGCGCGCCCCCGTCGGGAAATCGTAATCGCATCGCCTGGGACCGGATCGCTGCGAACCGCAGGCGAATCGAACCGGGAACCGGATCGCGACCTCGCCGAATCGAATCGCGGACCGGATCGCGACCCTGTCGAATCGAATCGCGAACCGGATCGCGCGACTGGATCGCGGCCCGCGGACCCCCCCGGCGTGGGCACTCCCCTTCGTGGCCGTCCTCCCTCCATCCCTCCTTCCCCCTCTCTCCCTCCCCCTCCCTCCTCCTCCTCGGGACCATCGGGGACCCTCCCAGGCCACCCTCCCGGGCCCCCCCCCGCCCTCGAGGACCCTCCCGGGCCCACCCTGGGGGACCCTCCCGGGCCACCCTCCCGGGCTTCCCCTCGTCGAGGACCCTCCTGGGCCCACCCTCCCGGGCCCACCCTCCCGGGCCACCCTCCCGGGCCACCCTCCCCCCTCCATCCCCCCTCCATCCCTCCATCCCTCCTCCCCCCTCTCTCCCTCCCCCTCCCTCCTCCTCCTCCCGTCGCGCTTGCGCGGGCCCACCCTGCTGGAGGGCTCTCCCGGGCCCCACCCGTCGGGGACCCTCGTGGGCCCATCCTCCCGCCCACCCTCCCAGGCCACCCTCCCGGGCCACTCTCCCGGGCCCCACCCTCGGGGACCCTCCCGGGCCACCCTCCCGGCCACCCTCCCGGGCCACCCTCCCGGGCCACCCGCCCAGGCCACCCTCCCGGGCCACCCTCCCGGGCCACCCTCCCGGGCCCACCCTCCCGGGCCCACCCTCGATCGGGGACCCTCCCGAGCCACTCTCTCGGGCCACCCTCCCGGGCCACCCTCCCGGGCCACCCTCCCGGGCCACCACCCTCCCGGGCCACCCTCCCGGGCCACCCTCCCGGGCCCCACCCTCGGCCCACCCTCAATCCCGGGCCCACCCTCCCGGGCCACCCTCCCTGGCCCCCCACCCTCCCGGGCCACCCTCCGGGCCACCCTCCCGGGCCACCCTCCCGGGCCGTCAGGCCTCCCGGGCCCAACCCTCGGGGACCCTCCCGGCCACCCTCCCGGCCCACCCTCCCGGGCCACCCTCCCGGCCCATCCTCCCGGGCCACCCTCCCGGGCCACCCTCCCGGGCCACCCTCCCGGGCCACCCTCCCGGGCCACCCTCCCGGGCCACCCTCCCGGCCAACCCTCTCGGGCCACCCTCCCGGGCCACCCTCCCGGGCCACCCTTCCGGGCCACCCTCCCGGGCCCACTTGGAAGCATCTTGGTTTACGTTAAGTTAGCTACATACTAAGTTGTTACAAGCATACGTTAAATATGTATAAGCACAACAAAAACCACTATAAGTTGTCATAACTTGTTACCTATACGACCACCCTTCGGGTGATAAGGAGGTTCGGGGGGGGAGGAACCAACGTCTCACTCGATCGGTCTCACTATCGATCTCACGATCGATCTCAGTATCGGTCTCGCTCGATCGATCCCACTCGATTGATCTCACAATCGATCTCAGTCGATACACTTCACAAGTGATCTGACTATCGATGTCACAATCAATCTCACAATCGATCTCACAATCGATATCGCATTCGGTCTCACTATCGATATCACTATCGATTTCACAACCGCTATCACAATCAACGTCATCATCATCAACAACAACATCAACATCAACATCATCATCACCAACATCATCATAATCGGGACACCGTCCTCATTATCAACACCAACATCATCATCATCATCACTGTCATCAACATCATCGGGACACCACCATCATCATCGTCATCAACATCATCATCACCATCATCACAATCATCATCATCATCAACATCATCATCAGCAGCATCGGGACACAGTCATCGTCATCATCATCATCAGCAGCATCATCATCGGGACACCATCATGATCACCATCGATATCATCATCATCATCATCGGGACACCATCATCATCATCATTTCATCCTCATCATCGACATCATCATCATCAGCATCATCAACATTACCATCAGCATCATCATCATCGTCATCAACGGGGCACCATCATCATCATTACCACCATCAGCATCAACATCATCATCATCATTACCATCGGGACGCCATCATCGTCAACATCATCATCATCAGCATCATCACCATCAGAATAATCATCATCACCGGGACGCCATAATCATCATCAACCTCATCATCATCATCGGACACAATCACAATCAGCATCATCAACATCAACATCATCATATTCATCAGCATCGGGACACCATCATCGTCATCATCATGATCATCAACACAATCATCATGACCATCATCATCCTCATCATCGGGACACCATCAGCATCATATCATCAACATCAGCATCATCATCATCGTCATCGTCATCATCGACATCATTATCATCATCGGGACACCATCATCATCGTATCATCACCATCGTCCTCCTCATCATCATCAGCATCGCCATCATCATCATCATCGTCATCATCATCGTCAGCAACATCATCATCATCGTCATCATCATCAGCATCATCATCATCATCATCATCATCATCATCGTCATCTCATCATCATCATCATCATCATCATCATCATCATCATCATCATCGCGGGAAACCGCGGGGCACCGGCGGGGCACCGCGGGGCACCGCAGGACACCGCGGGACACCGCGGGACACCGTCGGGACACCGGCGGGACACCGCGCGCCGCCGGCCGCCCGGAAGAGACGCATTTGGTCCGGCCGCGCCTCAGCCACAAGGACACCGACGGGGCACCGGCGGGGCACCGGCGGGACACCGCGCGCCACCGGCCGCCCGGGGGAGAATCATTTGGTCCGGCCGCGCCTCAGCCACAGGAGACATTCCTCTCGCCCGCCCACGCAGCGTCGCCTCGCCCGCACGGCACGCGCGAACGCGAAACCGAAATCGATTTCCCGGACGGGGGCTCTCCGTTCCACTTCGATCTCACCCCCTCACCTCCGATAGCGCACGCAGAAGTACTTGGAAAAGCCAGCTAAAGTTTAGGGTGATTTACGGCTCGTTAAGATACTTTAGGTTTTCTCAACATCGTTACTGAGAGTTACGGTTGGTTTAGTAAGTATGCGCCTAACGCGAGCTAACCAAGCTAAGCCATGTTAACTCATGTTAAACCGTTGAGCTAATTCAAGTTAAAGTTTAAGACAGCTTAGCCAACGTTAGCTAACGCGTTAAAAGAATGATCTAACATTTAACATGATTTAACATGTTTTAACACAATTTAACTTAGTTGAACATGTTTAACACATTTTTAAAATGAGCTAGCTAACACTTAACATGCGTTACACTGAGTTAGCTGACCCTTTAACATATTTTAAGATAGGTTACCTAAGCCTTTTATGAGATCAGCTGTCATTGTTTTTTACGCATTGTTTTGTGTATGATTGTCAGGTCATGGTATGCTACAGAAGCGGTTTTCTCATGTGTTTTCCTATTGGTTGTCTAATCGTGTTGTTCCGCATGTATTGTTTTTGTCTGGTTGTTGCGTGTGATTGGTTCGATGATTTGTTTGTTCTGTGGGTTGACGTGCGTTGGTTCGATCGCGATGTGGATCCGCACTGGTTGTTTCGTGAAATCGGAGTGGTCTCTAAGTTGAACCCGCTTTGATGTTCATGTAGGTTCGCATGTTGTGTTTCGACCATGGTGTCTTACATGTATTGTTTCCCATCTGTTTTGCATGCGGCATCAGTGAGATCATGCGCTACATTTTTCTCATTTTTTTTTGCATGTCATATTGCGACGCTCATTTGCTGCAAAGTGGTATTCCGATTATGGCGCGTTAACCATCTAAAACGGTTTATCTATGTTTGTTAGTGCGTTCTTGAGACCGTGGTGAGTTGCAGTTCTGGCTTTCTCGCGCGTTTTCTTCCGTGTGTTTTAAGCGCGTTGCGTGGTATTGTGACGTTTTGCTTTGCAAGCGGCATCGCGACCATGATGTGCTACATAATGTTATCGTATTTCGGGTGGGAAACTTTATCGGCGCACGTGTTTTCATTGGTTGCGCGTGCGGCGGTGCGACCATGATGTTCTGCATTCGTTTTTTTTTTTTTTTGAGGTTGCCTCCCCCGATCGAGATGCTATCGGGTTCGCGGGTGGTGCTTCAATCGCGGGTTAGCGGGTGGTGCGGTTTGAGATGCACATGTGTTTGTTTTTCATGTTTTCGTCGCTGTTGTGCCGTGGTCATGCGCGTCGCGATGCGCCATTTAATTGGGCGCCCTGCGAGCTGCAGCCTCGCTGGTGCAAGCCCGCCCCCCGAGCTGCAGCCTCGGGCCCCCGTCGGCTGGGGGCGATGTCCGCTCCGCCGATTGCACCTCCAGGCGCCGCCGCGCGGGCGCCGCCGCCCTTCCCCAAGTCGGCGTTCGTCGCCGTGCATGGCGGCTCGGAGGTCGTCGCCAAGGCGAACGGTTTGCCCACCGCCCCCCTCCGCGTGGCGCGCGGGGGCGCGCCCCATTGAGGTCGCGGAGCTGCCGCCGACCACGCCCGCAGCGAAGCGGATGCGCCGCGACGCCGGCTGCGCGGCGGAGAGGGCGGCGGCGACGTGCCCGCAGACGCGGTGCGCGACGAGCGACGACGAGAAGGGGGCCGGTCAGCCGACGCCGCGCAGGTCGCGGTGGGCGGACGAGCCGCGGTTCCCACCCGTAATCCCAGTGCACTGGGATTACGAGTGCTCCCTCGCGCACGCGTGGCAGGCGTCGTCGTCGTCGTCGTCGCCGTCGTTGTTGTCGTCGCCGTAGTCGAGGCGCGGGTGTTCTCGAAGCTCGCGTTCGAGCGGTTCGCGCATATATGCGCGAGGTGGGCCATGGCGAGGCCGTCGAGCGGGTCGCGGCGGCCAACGATGAGAAGTGGCAGGAATGGGTCGGCAAGGCGAGTCGTCGTCGCCGTCGTCATCGTCACCGTCATCGTCGTCGTCGCCGCAGGTACAAGAGCACCACTTGCCCGATTGGTCGGTCGGGTTGCGCTG